GCTCTTGCATCTAGAACTGATTTTAAATTATTTGCAGTTACAAATTTTAGTTCCTAATACGACTTTGAAACTAGCAAGTTGAATTCTTAATTGCGGAACTAGGGAAAAAAGCAATGAATAATATTTTTTTCACTCGTTTGTCAAACAATATCTGGTTGGTGGTATCGGCCATGCAATAAAGAGACTGTTTCTTCGTGATAAAAGCTCTTTCAGAACGAACGCTTCATCATAAATTGTGCCCAAGCAATAAAACATATAAGATATGTGTATGAACAGACAAGCCACAAAATGAATATCAAATAGGTCACCTGTTCAAAAAGACTCATTTCCTGTTCAGGACCGTCCACTAGGAGAATGTCTGGACCAGGTTTTGAGGAAATCTCAGCGGGTGCATCCGAATCGGAACCGTCATCGCCTTCTAAGCCTGTATCTGAAGTACCATTGGCTTTCTCTGGTGCTTGCTCCTTACGTTCATACTTTCCTTTTCTTGTGGTGACTATAAAAGAGGCAATACTCACATGATACACTAGCCATTTGAGAAAGATCTTACCCATGATAAATTATTGTCGTTCAGCAAGTTGACGCTCCACTAAAGTGCACAAACTCTCTAACTCAGTAAGTTGTTCTTTCTTCTAGAAAAAGATTGCATAATATACGGATAAGACCTTAAAATCTGTCAAAAGCCTGAGTGACTAACAACTTATTTCAAAAAGCACATGAATAACTAAAAAACTTAAGAAGCGCAATTAAGAATTTTGAGGAATAGAAAATAAAGTAGAACATACCTGTGCCACAAATTCAACAGTTCTGTCGATACTTGGCCACAATTTTTCGAGCTGCGCAAGCTGTGTTTCAATTAAACGGAAATTTTCTCTGACCTAATTATCATTAACATATATTGGATAAGATATTATCCAAAAAACGACCGATACTTACAGAACTGGTCTCTGTATCTACTGAAACGCTAAGTGTTCTCAATTCCTCTAGCGTTGCTGCACTTCTTTCTAAGATGTCTCCCAGAGAAGTTGTGGCTGGTCCACTCTGACAATCACTAAGATAATCTTTAACGGCAAAAAAAGAACGACTATGGTTTCAAAGTAGGAACAACATTTAACTTTGATTATTGAAGGTTTTCTATGAATCATTGCGAACAGTTACGTTAACAAATTAAAGACTTTCGGGTTCACTGCAGATTATACACGTAATTTGGAAAAAACGTAGTACTACGAGACATAATTCTTCGTCCCCTTGCAATATCAGAAAAACTTAAATGACTGCAATTTTACAAACTGTAAGCCAAAAGTTGTAAATTACAGCACGCATAACTATGATATGTTTTATAGTAAAGGACTGCTACTAGAGTGGCGTGCAAAAACGTTTGTTTTACCATTTTTCTTTTGAGCGAATATTCTGATAATTTCATAGTAAAACTGACCACCGATCCAATCAGCCGAACAACAGAACTAAGGTTTTCTGTAATCGACTGCAACTGTTGTAAAGTGTATTCCGAGTTGGAAACGGAGTTTTGATTTTCTTTCAACCGCAAAGTCATGCAAAGCCGCTTTGTGCGACTCTAAAAGAGCAGCATCGGAATACAAAGATTCAGTTCAACATAACGACTGATGATAAAGGTAAAGAGATTGC